TTTTTTTTACAATCATTTTAGAGAGTAACAATGGAAATCATCAATTAAAAATTTGACAAATGTTATTAATATGCATAAACAATAATGCATAGTTAATCCAAATTTTGAAATGAAAAAAGAGAAATGAATTTATGGTGTGCTCTTGACAACCATATTCATTTCAGTTATATCGTTTTTTATAATTTGAAACTTTATGGTGAAAGAATTTGTTTAGTGAAAATTTGCTTCAAATAACTGATCTAAATTTTACTGTCTAAAAGTAAAAATATCTGGCTGGAAAAGTTATAAAGTTCAATAAGTGTTTGAAAGAACCCTTCTGCATCATAAATGATATACATACATACACACATACATACATACATATACATACATACATACGTACATACACACATACACACACACACACATGGGGACCCAACTGATACAATTAAATATAAAGATCATGACAGTCTTTTAAGGTATTAATCTGATAAATAACTGGGTTAATTATCAATCGTTACTGATTGATTGATCACTAACTAATTTGATGAGAAAAACTCATTTATTAATTAAAAAATGGAAAAACTCTTTTCGCCTAAATTTTTGGAAACAAAGAGCGGCAGGTTTTCTTTTTTTTGCGGGAAGGCATTCCGGAAACCTTGTTTACGAAAAATGATCTAATAGTTTTCCCAATTAATTTGTTCCCTGTCCCTGAAACAAAGAAAAAAACTTCAAATTAATAAATGAATTTCTGGTTGCATATTTTATTAGTGGGAATGCCGAAACTACAGACAGAATAATACAATGTTTTCATGAATGCATTAAATGGGGTTAGGTTAGGTTAGGTTACATTTTTAAGGTCAAATCAGTTTCATCCATTCTTTCAGTGCATTCCTAAAACAATACGCAGTTCTTTTCTTTTTCAAATGAAACATTTCCCTCTTGTTTTTTTCATATTTATGTCATCGAATTTAAAAAAAAAAGAATTGAATACTTATGCTATTTACCCATTCTAAGATCGTTAGAACAGATAATAAGACGAACTCTATTGAAGGGAAATCAATAATCGATTAAGTAATGTTAGCAAACTCCAAGGGTTAGAGGTCATTTGCCCAAGTCCATATTTAAGCAGTGTTGTGTTGTGGTGTGTATTGCGTGTGTGTACGTGTGTGTGTGTGTATGTGTGTGTGTGTGTGCGTATGTGCGTGTGCATGTGTGTGTGTATGTGTGTGTGTGTGCGTGCGTCTGTATGCATGTAAGTTGTACGTATGAACTAATGAATGAGTGAGTGTACGTGGCGTTTTCTAGCATATGGTTAAGGTATCTTGATGGATGTGTGGGTGAATGAATAAGCGTATAGATAAAAATGGGAGGAATAAGAGTATGTGAACAGACGTGAGGCCAAGTTTCCGTGACCTGGAAGTTGAGATTAATGAGGAAAGAGAAACGTGGACGTTAGCGAGGGAGGAGAAAGGTAACGCAACGGATTGGAGAAGCAAATGCTCTTGACCGTGAGAACATCTACCACCCGATCACTAGTGCAACTCCAAAACGTTAGAAATTTCGACGCCGCGACCGTAAAATACCGTGGGTACGATATCGGCGGTTAGTGATGGGATTGGGAGTGGGGGAGGTAGGGGGAACTTTCCAAATGGATTCGGGGTTTTGCGAGGTGTGTGATATCCTGAGTAACAGATAAGTTAATTCATGAATTTCACCCTTCTCTGGAACTTAGAAAATTTTGAGAGTTAGAGCCATTTCTTTTTTTAAGTTATGTTTGGGTTAAATCTTAATCAAAATTTGTACGTTATTTGTGCGAATGATTGATGATTAGATCAGGTGGATGATTAAATCAGGTCGGTTGACTGTAAGATATTCTTCTGGGTCGGATAAATCAGATCTATTGATTTTTTGAAGAGAAGTAAAATGCTTGATATGAGTAATGTTGGTCAGAAGTTATCTCGAGTCTGACCAACCACCAGCTACTAATGGTGGATGGCAAAAAAGTTGTGAAAAATAGTGGGAAAGGAATAGATAGTCGATGAGACGGTCCTGTTACTCTTGGTACATTTTCTTTTTCTTTGATACGGTTTTTCACTAAGCCATATTGTGATATGCTACGTGTAAGGTATCGGTGGAATTATAAATTTTTAGAAAATTCAAACTCATATTTTTTTGAAGTCCAAATTGTGATTTTAGACTGATTGTTTTTAGTCTTTTCTTGGCCACTAACCATTTTGACTTTTTTATTTGTAGCAAAGACCGCAAGATTCAAAAATAATAAATTTTATTAACTTGGAAATAAACTTTAATCAAAACCCTAACGTATTAATTTATCAAACATTGCGATGAACACCCGACTCTGTTTTCTCTTCACGCACCGCCACTTCCTTGGACCGTATTTTGGTTCTCTCGGACCATTGGTTGGGAACCGCTATTTTAGACGGATGAACGAAAAAGTGATTTGGCATCGAAGACGAAATTGTAAAAAAAAATATTTTTAATAACTTTTTTTAAAAAAAATATTTTTACAGTTTCGTCGTTTTTTTTCGTTTTTTTACAGTTTTTTCGTTTACAAATATTTTTTACAGTTTCGGGAATAAATAATTGGTGAAATACTTTTAGGATTGTGAATGAAGATTAACAGGGAGTCGATACGGAAAAATGAAGCAGTTCAAACGGAATATCGGCAAAGATGGTGCTGGGTTTGTGTTACTGATGTAGTTTGGATTAATTAACCTGGATGTATACACATATACGTTCAGGATGGTTTCAGTATATGTTCAGAACGTATTCAGGATACAACATTGAGATGTTCATCATCGCTCTAATATATCTGTTAGAGTTGATCTGTAATTATTGTTACGGGATATAAATCTTAATCAAGTTGTTAGACATTCAGCATTTTTGCGTTTAATGTTTGACGATATTATTTGAGTAGGATCCACTTTTCATACACTTGCATTTTTAGAGATATGGATAGAGATGGAATGCAGTATTTATTTTCTTGAGCTTAATTTTCTCTAGTCCTGTAGTTTTTCCTACATTTTACCTTTTTTGAGATCTGTATACTTCCTGATGGTCATGTTAAAATTCTTCGAGAGTAAGTCTTATATAACTTGTCAGTCAAGTCTGATTGCTGTCCATATTTCATCATTCTGTTTACTAATTCTCACATAGTCGTTGAATAAATTTGTTCGGTCATTTTTGCAGAGAGGTGACAGTATCATGCGATGAAACAGAGGACATGTGGCATGTTTATAATTTAGTACGCATTGGTGATAAAGTCCGGTGTACAACAATTCGAAAGGTTACCACGGAATCGAGCACTGGCAGTACGTTTAGGTAATATGCAGTTTATTGCTTCAACAGAAATGTTTTGATTCTTACTATTCAATTTAAAAAAAAAAAAGACCTGCTGATTGGTTTTTTTTTCAATATTACTATTAAATGATAAATTAATCAAACTCGTAGTTAATCTCGTAGTTTTCTGGAGTTTTCTTTCTTTTCAACATTTTTGTTCATTTAGCTCATTGACAATTTTCGTGAAAATTAACCTTCTTATATATTCTCATATTCCATATTCCACGCATAATAGCTTAAGTTTCTGTCCAATTCATGAGCGTACAGAAGCCAGTATTAATCGTTACTTTCTTTCAGCCAGCGAGTGCATACTGTTTTGTCGATTTCCATTGAAACTGTTGATTTTGATCCTATAGCTTGCATTTTGCATTTAAAAGGTAAAAATGTTGCTGAAAATCAGCACGTCAAAATGGGGCAGTATCATACATTGGATATCGATGTTGGGAAGAAATTCAGTTTGTGGAAACCGTATTGGGACTCAATAGATTTGGATCGTCTAGACTTGGCACTTGATGTAGGCTTCAAATTCGTAAACGTTTGTTATGTTATTATCGCCAAAAATGTTTTGCAGTATAGAGTGTAAGCTGTTGTTTTAATTCCTCCATCGGCCCTGACTTGACTATACAGTTCAGTGTTCATACAACTTTAATGAGGTCTTGCATAAGGTATTTTGCATAATATTCAATCGTGTTAGCGAGGTCTTTGGCGGAATTCTTAAGTTACCATCAGTTTTTTTAGATTTCATCTAACAAAAGAAACACAGTTTCGTTTATAGTTTTTCTCTCATCACTTACAAATTTCTACTTTACTATTTTTTTCTCAGTTTTTGATTTTAGCCATCCCGAACTGCCGATGTGGCTGCTGTTGTGATGCATGAAGGTTTGGCAAATTTATGTTTGGTGACAGCACAGATGACCATTGTCAAAGCAAAAATTGACATGCAGGTTAGTAACGTCACCTTGTAGCAAGATTGGAAAAACAGAACTGGGTGAATGGTGATATGAGAAAGGATGATTTATGAATTTAGGTGAACAGCTTGGAATAATCCATCAGTTTGTAGCATGCTTTTAGATTCCGAGGAAGAGAAAGGGTTTCTCAGGTCAGCACGACAAGGGTATACAACGTTTTTATGAAGTTATTGCAACGGCATTTGTTAGGCATGTTGATATGAAGGTTGGTTACTTCTGGAAAATTTTGAAACATTTCATTCATTTTCAGAGAATTAGTTCCGTTTCATATTTTAGGTAGTAAAATGCATAATAATTGCTAGTCGTGGCTTTCTCAACGAACAATTCCTAAATTATTTAATGGAATATGCCGACAAACATGGGAACAAGTCGATTTTAGAAAGTCGTAGCAAATTTCTACTTGCCCATGCAAGCAGTGGCTTTAAGCATGCGCTTAAAGAGGTGCTGTCAAATCCTAGCGTAGCAGCTGCTCTCTCGGACACCAAAGTAAGTGCATGATAGAAATAAAACCTCGAGGTGGTAAAGTGATCTGCTTTTCAGTATTTTTTTTCTCAATTTCTTAAAGCTTTCTTTCCTTGGAAATGATGATACTAAAACTTCGTTGGGGACTGATAATGTGCACATATTTGGGAATTTCTGAGGACTAGGGATCTGAGTTGATAGATTTAACTAATTTGTGAAAATGTAAATGAACTGTTTCCATATTTTACAGGCTCAAGCTGAAGTTAAAGCACTTAACATGTTTTATGACCTGATGGCAACTGATCCAGCTCGTGCCTTTTATGGTTATAAGCATGTGTTGATGGCTAACGAACAGCTGGCTATTGACACGTTGTTGCTGTCCGACTCGTTGTTTAGATCGAGTGATATTCAGCTGAGGAAGAAGTATGTTGAACTGACAGAGTCTGTAAGGGAGCAGGCAAGTTTAGATAGTTCATAGAACTTTGGCGACCTTCTTTAAATTGATAACTTAAGCTAAATGACTTTCCTCAATGCTTATCGTATTGGGTGCAGAATATCCTCAGCGCTCTGATAAACAAACTAGCAGCGCTTTAACCAGACTTTTTTATTTCAAATCAAATTATTCATGGCACTAGCGGGACATAAATTAAATCTGTGAATTTCATTAGATTAGCTGGAAATATGCGACCTGTTCTCCTATACTGAGTAATTTTGTAGGGTTCGAACGTGTTGATATTCTCATCAATGCATGTGTCGGGTGAACAACTAACCGCATTGGGTGGCGTGGCAGCTATCTTAAGATTTCCACTGCACGAACTGGAAGATGAGGAAATGTCAGACAGTGAACACGATGAAGACACTGACGATTTTAAAAATTAATTTATTTGTTTCACCGGACGGGTTTATAAAATTGTTTCTAGTGATAATTGCATATTAACAATTTTATACAATACACAACTTTTCAAATCATATATATTAACATTCATTAAACATGAATGCACCTTTCTGCATTATTATTTAAAACTCGTGTCGAACAACAAACTATACTTATAAGATGTGAGTAATGGGCAAGGCCCGTTTTCATCGGATCAGCAAATTAAGTGAATCCCAATGCACCTTAATTTCAGGAAAATGTCGATAAGGTCGTTGTCCAGGACCTTAAATTCATTTTTGATACTCCGTATATAATCTTTCTTTTCAACAGCAGAAACAAAAAGGTGCATTAAACAAACTGACAAATTACGAAAATAACATACAAAATGTAAAAGTTCCCTTACCATACTTGAACTGATAGGAGTGAAGTGAATAATCACCGAATATTTTGCTCAGTCTAATGGACAAAAATATCACAATAGGCAAGATATAAACCAATCTAATGAATATTTTAAAGTCTGAAAATAAGAGTATATGAGTGTTGAGTTTGAAAAAGGTGAAGGTTGCTTAATTGTTACATGCTATAAATGTTATAGGACGGTGACGTTAGGAAATATTTCCAGTCTTGAAAATTTTATCTGATCATTAATCAGATAAAATGAGTCCCGGAAATGCTTTTTATTAACATATTTATGAAAATACCCTTGAATGCTTGTTTTAAAACCTAATAAAAAGTCTGAAATGTTATGAAAAAGGTTTAATAAACTTACAGTAACACAGAATGCGTTGTGGTGACTTTATATATAATCGTCGTCGATATCCCATTTATGCGGGACACAAAACATTGGATCATTATCAGTAATAAGAGGTGAAGAAGTGCCACTGTTTTCCTCTTTTATATCATCAAAAAAAATAAATGAAGGAGATGAACTGAAGCCCCTTGATACATCGGGGGATTTCAATGCACGAAATGATGAATAGTCGGGTGATTGTTCACATTTTAATCCATGATTAGTTTCCAAATCAAAATTAGCACGGGAAGATGATTCTGTATGTTCCACTGCACCATTAATTGCAGTCGCTGAACAATTAGAAATCGATGTTTGGAGCACTCCGTTCGACTTTAAATATTCCGGTGCTATAATGATATCTGGTGTTGTGCAATCCATCCGACGTATTTTGCAGTTTTTCGGAGGTTTTGATTCAGCGGTATCCGACATCCCAGTAGTGTTATCAATTTCGCTAAGTATCTTTGAACAGAATCGTTCGAACTCAAGTGCCGTGCCATCAACATCTTGTAACGTCGGATCAGTTCCATCAATTGCGCAGATTTCCCCGATGATTTTTTGCATTTCATCGCTAGACATAATAGCATTAAAATCAACAATGGACGCATCATCGCCTGTTCCCTCTGCTGGGGCCCGCGAATGGATTCGGCAGATCCAAGGGACGATGATGGCATACTACTATTTACTTCCGTTTCTGAGCATGTTTTCTCATGTTCCCGATTGTTATTCAACAAATCTTGCAACTCAATATTTTGATCCTTCAGTTCTTCACATGTTTTTTTTAAACACTTATTTTCTTCGCGCAATTTACCATTTTCTAGGATAAGCATTCGAACGGCTTCTTCGAGTTTGTTTGCACGATATTTTTTACGATCACGTGCCGTCTGCGCAGCCACACGATTCTTCAACTTACGTCGATTTTGTTTCTCTTCCGCTGTCAAATGATTTAAACGTTCACGCTTTCGAACTGGGTGTTCCCCTCGAGCTCCCAGACCAAGTAACTCCTCAATGGGTTGCTGAAGTATAGTAGTTTTTTCTGATCGTTGCATATTTTCCACCGGAATAATCGCACGAACTGGCTGTCGCTCTACCGTGCTAAGAGACCGTGCGGTGCAATAACGCGGTAAGATTGGTGTTGATACGTTTCGCGCTTTAATAAGTGATGGTAAATAACTGGGCGTCGTTACAGTTTGTGGGTGTAAAATATAAAGGGACATCCTCAATCAAAAATGATATCTCAGGAATTGTAAATGTTTATATCACGTCAATAAAAGAAAATTTCCGTCAATTTCAGTAGGAAATATAGTCGTGTCCAAATCGATATTATGCCTCATATGCGCCACCCATGACAGCATCCTGTGTTCTGCCACGTCACATTAACTTCACTCCGTGTTATAGCAACCGCGACTTTCTCCCCATTGCAACCAATCGTTCTACAAACATATACAAGCACCACACACGCGCACACGTACACACCCACACACACACACACACACATGCATACATACATACATATATATATACATACATACATATATACACACACACACATACATGCATACATACACACATACATATACACACATATATACATAACGCACGCACGCATAGCCACACAGATACATATGTACCACCCACCTATTGATTTGACGAATCGATAAATTTTGTTAATGAGCAGAAAATAAGATACAAGAGCATTTTCGATGGGAATGGATGACTCATAATGATGACATTTTCCACAAGGCGGTTAGTAGAAAGCAAACAATTGAGGGAAAAGATAAATGCTTGTTGCCAAGTTAACACATATGATATATATATGCATGGATGAATATTGGATACTTTTATACCATATCCTACCACCATATACATTGCTTGCATTTGGGCAATATATCGATATATCTGCGCTTTTAGTTTTGTGTTCATTCTTACCAAATAGTCCCAATTACGGAAGTGACCTTTGTACTGCAAAAAGATAAGGGAATTGAATGGAAGGAACGATCATACAAACTTTAATTCTCTCTCTTTTTCTCCGAAAAGAAAAAAGTGTGATCTCTTAGCCGGAAAAGTGGTCAGATTTATTGCGATAGAAATGATATGACAGACTTCGATACAAAAATTCCTAAAAAAAAACGTCGAAATCGAAATGTTAAGAAATCGCAGACATCAACGACCGAATGGTTTATATTGTAGGAGTGGTAATAAATAATACAAATTGTGGTAGAAATAGAAATATGATATGCAATGAGACCTAAAACATACTTCAATTTATAATACATGTAATAGTAATAATTATAATAATCATAACAATCGTAATCATAATAATCATAATCATAATCATAATAATGATAATAATAATAATAATAATAATAATAACAATAATAATAATAATAATAATAATAATAATAATAATAATAATAATAATAATAATAATAATAATAAT